TTTTTTTTTGGTCATGGCTTATAAAGTGGGAAAATCCCACTCACACAAACACCATTTACTGTTCCTCAGCCAACACGGGCAGTGAAGCAGAACAGACAGAGAAACAAAATCTTATAAACCCATTTCTATCCTGGGGAACTCTATTGGCACGCCCACTCCTACCTGTAAAAGTTTAAAGCTTTTTACTGCTGCTGCAGCTTTTCTCTGGAACATGCACAGAGAGATCTGAGCGATATACACTGAACACATGAAGGTGCTGTAAGTGCTGGACAGATCTGCAGCCCTTTAGCAATCAGGACAGGTTATGAATAATCTGTGTCTCATAAAAAAACAAAACAAAAACAAAAAAAACAAAAAAAACAACTACCTATGTTTGGTTTAAGTTTTTTTTTTTTTTTGCAAAATGAAAAAGTGACGGTCATCGGTTGCATAAAAGCCACAGATGTGCTGCAAATATAAAAGCGACAAAGACACCAGTGTGCAATACGGGCTGGGAGGTATTTGCACAAAGCTGATGCAAATCTGCGCCTTCCCTTCAAAGTTCAAATTTGCTACTTTCTCAAAATGGGAGCGAATGACAATAAATAGGATTCAAGTAAACCACCGGCATCTGTCTGAGTCACTAACCGCAACAGACAACCAAACAACCATCACGACTGAAACAGTAATGATATCTCTGCTTTTTACTCAGCGGGACGCAACCTCACTGCTCAGCATGCACACAAGTCCATATACAGCTTGTGCAACAGAGGCATGTTTCTCTGTCATCTCGCCTCCCTGTAGCCCCTCGGTTGGCGCGTAAACTCCTTTTTTTTTGCGTCAGACTCTCTCATGAGACCCAAAACGAAATGAATAAAAAGCAATTAAATAGGAAAGATAAAAGCTCGCCTTCTTTGCAGAAAATAAAATAAAATTATAAGCTTGTCAGTGACAGAGGGGATGCGAACTTCTGGGATTAGCAGCTAATTTGAAAGGTGAAAATAAATTCAGAAGCTTTTTAAGCAACGTTGCAAAAACAAGTTGAGTGAGCATCCTGGCTACAGATGTACAATATGCAACACGATCACTGATTTACGTAAAGTAAGTAAAATATTTAATTCTGTTGAACGTAATTCATGCTCATGCTTAACAGAAAGGCTTGTTTTTCACTTTTAAACAGCCAGTTAGCGTTTAGAAGACGTCGAATGTTTACGACTGAAACTTGATGACCCCAACATGTCTCTCTTTTCTGGAGCTGCAACTCTGAGCTTCAGAGTTTTTCATTCTACTTACTGTGAGCCGTGACAAGACAAGACATGAGTCCTTGTCCAGTTTTGTTTTTGCTCGCTACAAAAACTGCTTACAGTAGCTATTTTCTTTTGGCCATTTCATGACTCTTTAAGATCAAACACATCCACCTTCCTCGAATGGGATGTGTGGTTGTCTTCACCAATTTGAAGAGAGGAGTGGGACAATGCTACTACAGTAAAATACTAATTTACTTTTAACCCGTCTTTAGCTGGGCTGTTAATAACGGTGGAGAGCACTGCACATCAACCATGAAATTGCAGAACCCCCAACATAGCAAAACCTAATTTAACGCATATAACTTTATGCTTCTTGTGCTGTTTATTAAATGGATTTTTTGTTGTTTACAGTAAAGACTTGTTCGAATAAAAGACAAGATGTTTTAATGGTGGAGAACAAGGAAATTAAAAACTTTGATGCATTTTTAACCTTCACCAAACAAAAGTCCTGCCAACAGACGCAAGGCTGTGAGAAGTGTAACAAGGAAACCTCAGTTTAAAGATATAATGTGCTCAGAACCTGCATTAATGGACATTTACTTGGACCAATGCTAAAAAAGACTCTTAGTGGAAACATGACAAATTTAAAGGTAAATATTGCCGACTGCATGTTCATAATTTATTAGAAAAGAAATATGTGAAAAAGTAGTTGCAAGTAAAAAAAAAAAACACACACCGTCTCAGTACTCAGGATGACATTAAATATTGATGTCAAAATGGATTTTTGGCAGAAATATGTTTACGTTGCCCAGCAGCAGCTTTAAATGTGAAAATATAAGAGCCATCAGTGAATTCATGCTCAGTTTCCAGGGGACTGCAACTGAGAAAAACACGAAGAATTAAAACTTCATAAGCCTGCTAAGATTGGTGGAATTTATTTCTGCTAAACCTGTGCTGAAACGGATATGAATGTAAGGAAAGGATTAATCGACTCAGTTGAAAACTGGAAGCATAAACAAGTCGGAAGGGCAGCGGTTGTGTTTGCAGGAAATATATCCCAAATCATTTATTTTGGGGTTTTTCCTGTAATAAAGCCATTACAAAGCAACCTCATCCTGCGTTGCAGCAACATTCGTCAAACTTTACTTTTACATGAGGACAATAAGTCAGGAACTTTCAGTTTTTAGATGAGGTTATTCCAAAAAAGATAATTAGGTAACTTATCATAATTACTGCTGGCAGGGCCAATGGTAGAGCAGAGGTGGCCCAAGGTTATATGGGCCAACATATATAATCTGCTAATAATCAAGCAGATTATTATCTGCTAATAATCAGGCAGATTATTATCTGCTAATAATCAGGCAGATTATTACCTAATCTGCTTGATAAGATAATAATGCAAAAGGGGATAATTGGGTATTTTTTGCTGAGATGAATTTGAAGCTCAAACTCGTAGCATTAGACTGTAGCTATGGTAACACAACAATCAACCTATGAATATTATTTTGTTGTGCTTGAGAAAGTAAACTTGCTAATCCATTCCATCTTAAATTTAAATATGGTCTAATTTCTGAAACCAATAAATCAAGTTCAATGATACATAAATAATGTCATTCTCAAACGTGTTCAAATGACAGATCTATGAACGGTGTGAAAGTAAAGCACTTAGCAGCTGCTTAGCTCGCTTCGCCGTTAGCTCTGTTGCTAGCGCTAACTGCAGTTCGTAGTGTGACTGTGTCGCTGTGGATGTACCCACCTGACCAGTGTCCAGTGGAAGCCCCGGACCGGTCAGTGCACGTGTTGCTGACGGGCAGAAAGACGGTCTCCCAGCCGCCGGGGGCGTAGCGCCAGTTGTGCGACTCCAGGATGAGCGTGCGCTGGGTGCCGTACGCGATCATGAAGCAGTAGACGACGTGGTGGAGCTGGCAGCCGTAACCGCAGCCCTTGTTGATGTTACACACCAGCTTCCTCGCCTTACTGCAATCTGGGGGATTCTGGGAGGAAAAAAGGAGAGAGTGTTTCAACGGGTTTTTTTTTTTCTTCTTCTTTTTTTTTTTTTTATAGCTCAACTTTCACCTTGAGTTCCTTGGAAGACTGATCTCTGACACATAATAACACACGGCTCATATTGTTTTATTAGTTTTCATTGCCAGTCTCGTATTGAACTCTGAATTTTATGTCGCCTGCTCATGATTTTCCCCAAGTTTGTCTTTTAAAATGATCTCTTCCACTTATCGTTCTGCTTTACTGAAAAAGGAGACAGAGGCTAAAACTTTTTATTTTGTTGTAATCAAAAAGACCCTTTTATTTAAAGACATGCAAATTGGTCAGTGCTGTCTTTCTTCAACAGAAAAGCGATTCTGGGGATAATTTGTGTTGAAGATCCCGTCTGACCAGGTTTCCTGGATCTTTTTACGTTCAAATTTCTACTGTTGTATTCTCAGATATCTCTGACGATTTAAAAAAACAAACAGAAAAGTTCACTATTAATTTACAGCATATATTCATACAATGGTCAGATTTTACCCCCAAAGGATGGATGGATTGGAGTAAAATAAAAAACAAAAAAAGAAAGATAACAGCAGAAAAGAAAGAAGGAAAAAAGATCAAAGGATGACATGAATAAGGCATGAAAATAATCACAAAATGAAAGAATGAAGGAATAGAGCAAGAAGGGTTGGGGGAACACAATGGGGAAAAAATGAAGGAAGGAAGGGATCTAAAATTGAATGACATAAAAATGAAGGTGAAAAAGATTTGAGGAAAGATGGAAAAATTTTAAAGAAAGAAAGACAAAAGGATAGATGGATGGACAGACAGACTGATGAACAACAAGATATTTAGTGAATGGATGAAAAGACGGATAGAGAGATTAATGGGGTCTGCACTTTTCTTAACCAAAAATGGGAAATTGAGTGTCAGAGATCGAGATGGTGGGGAAAAAAAGAGGAGATCCGCATATTTCTTCCCACTCTGTTGTACTTTCCTTTTTTCTGTGTTAATCCCAGTCTGGAGAATACCTCAATCAAATTCCAGACTTCAAATCTGTGCAGGAACCCAGATATTCACCACAGAGTTATTCATTCCAGAAGAATATATAGAGCTATTTAATCTATATTTGGCTTTTGTTTGGGCGATGCTCAATAAAAGATAGAGTGCTCTTTAGCAGCTGTTTTGGAAAATTACTGATTGCTTTCAAAATGGGCTGAATGCCACTGACAGACACCGAGTAATTTCCAGGTCTAGTCCTTTCCGGTGATTTGCTAACAATAGGGAAAAAATAAAAAATAAAGAATAGTGCCAGGTCTATCCTTTAATCTTTTCATTGTTGCTTTTGCTTTCTCTTATTCACTTCTTCCGTGCTGCTTTTGCTCTATGTTTACTAATTCTTAAGCCGTCCCTCTGCTCTCTCGGCTTCCTATCTTTTAATATCCTTTGTTTCTTCCTCCTTCTCATTTTTCGATGCTCTCTCTCTCTCTCTTTCAATTCATCAGCTCAAAAATTAGCTGCGACATTATGCAGGCTGAGGGTTAGAATACCGAATAAGAGGTTGCTGAGAGAAGGAACAATAAACTGTCTATTTTACGTACAGAACAAGTGGGACGCAACAGATTGCTGCACGCTACATCACTGACGACTTGCCGGGCGGGTTGTGATCCGCTCTGCAGCCGATCTGAGCGACTGGAAGCCAACCGGCTTCCTAAACAGCAATTATTCGCTGATGGGAGTGTTTTCCTCATTAGGCTGCTGCAGCTGTGGATAGTTCAGAGTAATCAGGCCGCCCAACACCCACCGGCTAACGCTGCCTATCACACGCTAGCAGGGGAAGTAAAGGGGAAAACAGGAGAGTAAGAAAAACAAAAAAAAGAGAGGAAAAAAATGAGGAGAGATTAAAGTTTTTTTAAAAAGTGGCATTTAAAAAGAAACACATTAGGAAAAGAGGACAGGAAGATGGCCAAAACTGATTAACGCTCCTCTTTCTCAATAACTCAAAGTACAACGGCCACAAACAGGGACACGGCAACCCACACAGGTATTCCCTTCTATTTCCAGAATCCCAGTTCACCAGCAGCCCCACGGGTGTAAGCTAACCCACTAAAATCCACAGTCAGTGGCGTCTGATTACCAAGGACCTTCTCAAAGCTTCCTTTCTCTATAGAGAGGCATGTCACTGTATCTGCGTGAGGTCATTTTATGGCACGAGTCGTGCCGAGACGAAGCCGCCGTCACTGGAATCCGGTGTTGCTAATGGCGGAGCTGGAACGGCTCAAGGATAATGACGCCAGCTGCGCGCACGGGCAGCGTGCTGTAGGTTAAGTACCTCTTTAAATAATATTCTTCTCACATATTAACACCCAGGGTCAGCAGCAGAGCGCTTCGGGTTCGGGCAGACCACGGCGGTATTGTTGGTTTTAGGAGCGATGGACGGCTGGAACCAACTGAATATGGCAGAATAATAACCTCAGGTAATTATCCACAGTGCTCCCCCCCTATCCACTCGCTTCAAGATGCTTAAAGTGAATGCGGGACGTTTTCTGTGCTCAAAAGACCTCGAGTAATAAAAGAACAGTTCATCGCTGCTGGTATATTCATATCAGGCTTTGTGTTCTTATTGGTGTTATTTTAGAAATAAATACAAAATAAATAAAATAACACCAGTAGTGCAACATTGACAGATTTCACCAAAGTTTTAATGAGCAATATTAAAAAAAAAAAAAAGAATAAATAATTCAAATGCTCTGAATAATGGCCCGCAAAGAAAAAAAATAAAAATCTTAATGATATTGAACGTATTTTGTTGACAGCTTACGGCCAATTGATTTTTTTCAGCAACAGAAAGTCGATGTGCTTTTAGTCTGACGCTCATTAGAAAGTTCCACATTTTTAAAGTTAATTTCAAAATACAAGGTAAAATGTGAAATATGCATATTTCTACAGTGGTCACTGGGTAGACTGAATAGACAAAAAGATGTGTGTAAAGCACATCCTGCTTTCCAACTAACAAAGTTACAACCATAGATATGAACTGAACCAGAAATATAGTCCAAGGACTGGACAGAAAAGAGTGAAGCAGCAGCTAAAACCAAACACTTCACTTGTTATGGTTTGCTAATTTGCTCCTGTTTTTTTCACCCCGCCATCATCTCTAGCAAGAAAAAAAATTGCCACCATTTTTAGAAACGATGACAGCCATGTTTAAGAGCACCTTATTAATTTGATCTGGATAAAATACGTCCAACTTGATTCTGCGGAGAAACTTTGTTTTTGTTTTTTTTTCCATCTCCAGTCATTTGCACGTCTCTGACTGTGGGGAAAAAAAAAAGAAAAAAAAGCTTTTTAATAACCGCATTAATACAGAACTACTGAGACACTGTGAGAATAATCACCAGCCGCCTGCTCACGTAGTTGCGCTTCTACGGTGCAGCGTGTGCGTATACAGCTTTTTAAAGAATATAAATACAGAGAAAATGGGAACTAATTGTATTGTTTATAAGTAAAAATACCCTAGTAAGTTCCAGGGCTATTCAAAAACCACCCAGAGCCGAAGCTGGTCTAACAAAACCTAATTCCATTGATCATTTAGTGACTAATTTGGATTTCCCTCTATGGCCAAAAATTATACCAATCAGTCTTAACAATTAAGACAAAGGTTGCGGTACATGTTGTGTAAATGAAGAAAAAAAACAAAACAAAAAACATTCAATAGTTTTAAAACATTTAAACTGTCCGTTTAACCAGAAATAGTATAAAACCAACAGGTCGAGTGCAACGACTTTTCTGTTTTTATGAGCAATTTACACTCAATTGCATCGTTTTAAATGGACGTTCTATAAGTTTAGAGAATGGTGTGGCTGGTTAAGTTTAACGCTAGGACAAGCTTCAGTTTCTGGCTCTGGTTTATGCACAGTGACCCTCTCCTGAACCCACCTGGATTATTTTGGAAGCTGTGCAAAAAGCTGCTGAAGTTGTCAGGTTGTCAAATACACGAGAAAGGCAGAAAGAATCGGGTCAGTGTTCAAAATAGGACGTGGCGCTGTGTACCATGTGCAGAAACGTAACAATAACTGGTTTGATGGGCTTTGATGCTATTATGTTTATTAGAGGTCTGGCATTGGAAGATCCCAGGGCGCCGCATGACACCACCGAAAGCTGCTTTAATAAAAGCCGAGGCGACAAAGTGTTACAATTAACAAAAAGAAGGTGTTTGGGGAGTGAAAAGCAAGTCATCAAGTTATTAGATACCACAGTCATTTTACCCACATGCCCTCAATTTGACAAAAAATAGACAATACGTCGTTTCCTGTTATTTTGATGGTATCTGTTCCTTGGTATACCAACCTCTAGCTCCTTTGTTAAATGTTTAAAGAACTTTTTTCTGATCACATTTTTTCATACTGAGAAAAAAAAAGGGAAGGAAACATGTCTGCTGTATTTCACAGTAATCCACTTTCCTTGTGTATTTAGCCTTTTCTCTTTTTTCGAGTAACATTTATTTATGTTTTAACAGCATTTACAATGGCCAAACCACATTTTTACTTCAAATGTCTACACCAAGTACAAATTCTTGACTTTTTCAGACTAAAATTTACAGTTTTTGCAGCCCTCTGTTTACAGCTCAAAATAAAAAGAAAATGACAAACGTTAACCATAAGCTTGTGGCAATGACTTCTACAGCCGATAGTGGAATGAAGGAAAACCCCAAGAGGGACTGAGAGGAAGACATGAGGAAGAAGGGCAGGTAGAAAACAATGATGACAAGGATGTAGGGACATTAAAACAGCAAGGGAGAAGGACACAAGGAGCAAGAGGAGAACATATGAAAAGGATGATAGGACACAGGGGAAATAAACAGGAGGAAGGGCAAAAGAACTAAATGAGGAAAGACACAGGTAAGATAAGAGGGGCTGTCATAAAGGAGGGAAGGAAGAACACAAGAAAGATGAGAAAGAATAAGGTGAAGAAGTAAGAAAGGATATCCACCAGGAAGAACTGCAACAAAAGGAGGCAGCAATAAAAGACACGAGGATGAAAGAAAAGCTATATGAGAAAGGAGGGAAGGAAAAAGTGCATGATGAAGGGCATCAGGGCTAAATGAGGAATAAATGCATAAATAAACATACAGAGGGAGGAAAGAAAGAAGTACAGAAGGAAGGACAGAGGCTAAAGTCCTGAAATCCTAATATTTTTTCATTCTCTGATAAACTTTTCCTTACTTTTCCAAGCCGGAAAAGAGCAAAATTAAATTCCAAGATTCCCAGACAGCACTGAAACCACAGGCATAACCTGGTTTCTTTCCTTTTCTAATCAAAATAAATGATTTTTTTCAAACAGTTCTCGCAACACTTTACTGGTTGTCATCACGTAATCACGTATTCTTCGAGCCGAGCAACGACAAAGCACAGACGATGGCGTGATGCCACGGGAACTGTGTCGCTGATGAGAAAGCACAACAAAGCTGGGATTTGACTCATTGTTACCAGGCTGCATTTTGTCTGTGATGAATTATCGCTGGGAAAACAACCAGGGAGGCAATGAAGATACAAAAAAAAATAAACAAGACAGTAATAAATATCAGAGTAAAAAAAGAAAAACCCAACTGAGCTCCATCTGAAGGAGCCGTGGCTGCTGGATGATGCGAGTGGACAGATGGAGTTAGTTATGGCAGGAAAGAAGAGGAAAGCTGATGCAGGTGGCAGCGACAGCAGTACAAGAAGGAGGAGCCTGTCTGTCTCTGTGCACATATAGATGTATGGATCTGCATGAGAGAGCCAGACACACACGCACACACACGTGTGTGTGTGTGTATACAGGCTATCGCTTTGCATTTAAGCACGAGCATCAATCTTATGGCTCAACTTCAATAACAGTTGCTTGTAGGTGCGGGCGAATGGCTCCGTGCGCGGCCGCGTGAGCGTGTGTGTGTGTGTGTGTGATGAATTAGTGAAGGCAGCTGGTAGAGCAGTGTGATCCCTCAGCAGCGGTGACAGCAGCTGTTAGTGGTGCCGTCTCCGCCCAGCCAGACTGACTGGGTCCTCTTCATCAAACACACCGGCTCATTAATGCTGCAGGACCTGCTGCCGCAACGCACCGCCCCGTTCGAAAACCCTGCGGCGGCAGAGCCGGCGAAGAGGAACGGGGCTGCTCGGGCCAGGGGATGAGTCCTGAATATCATATAAGTGTATTCTGTTGAGGTGTGTGTGTGTGTGTGTGTGTGTGTGTGTGTGTGTTTATGAACATGCAGCAACGTGGCTGACTGGGGCATGGGAGTGTTTTGTCTTTAAACTGCATAGACATTTCAGTGTGTGCAATGTCATTCCGCCTGTCTTTTGGCATGTTGAGCGCGTGTGTGTGTGTGTGCATGCGTGTGTGTGTGTGTCTCGAAAACGCTGACAAATAACAAGAATCCCGCTTGTCAGATCCCACAGCTGAAACCGGCTGCTTTGGTTCTTTTTTTACCTGCTACTTGTGGAAACCGACGCCGGCAGATAAAGATGGTGCAAATGAGACAAAAAGAAGCGGAAAAACGCGTACGCGTACCCGTCCATGTGAGGCAGAGAGTCGAATGAATGCTAACAATGTTGCTTTGTCTAAACGTATCTGCGCGGAGGAGAACACGGGCCAGCTGGCCCGAGCAGCAGGTGTGTCTGTAGGTACCTGTAGGTAGGTGATTCTGTTCTGGACCAGATCTGACAGGTCTTTAGCCTCCTTCGTTCTCCATTCGCCAACTCCGTCTGCCTGGCTGAGGTAGTATAAATCTGTCATGATGGATCTGTAGAAACAAGGAAACATTTTCAATCAACGAGATCGCTTTTTAAACCAACATCCAAATATAAAGACAGTCTGAAAAAAGACGATTTTTTTTTTCCTCTATAAAACATGTTATGCTTATTCTGCTTTCTAGGATAAACGCATAACCCAAAATAAATAAATAAAAAAATAAAAAAAACAGAGAGGAAGTGGTTGAAATAAAACCAAAGCACTTTTTGGATTTTACATTTTAACTCTTTAATTGCATTTCTAACAATAATACTAACTCAAGTCAGGTTAAATTATTATTGTCATTTGTATTACTGCTGTTGCTATAAAATGTTATCTCAGGCTACAATATTAACTTTGCAAATTTAAAGAGCGCAGAACAAGAAGAAGAAGCAGAAATAAACAAAAGAAGAAGACAACAAATGAAGAAGTCAAAAAAAAAAATGACGAAGGAAATATTTTTACATCATGGCAGTTTGGATACGATTAAAATTTTTGTTGTTACTGTAGATAATCCAACTTGCATGCATTTAAATCAATGTATTATTTTTTTTTTTTCAAATTTTCAGCAATTTTCAGTATGGCGTTAGTAACAGTAGCACAATCTAAACAGATTAAAAATCATGTGGCCTTTTACTCTGGATATGCAAACAGTATAGTTACTTGTTTTTATGAAGTAAAGTGTATTCTCAACAAGAACTATTGAAAAAAAAAGATCCCCCATCTTTATCTAATGGTTTTTATTAATTCCAGATCAACAGCTACAGCTATGGAAAATGTAAAGAAAAAAGACAGAATGCATTTTTCATGTAGAATTGGAAACAAAAACAAAATGAAGAGAAAAGGAGGTGCTGGCTGCTTGCTGCAGCCAGCCAGTAAGTGTCACCAGAATATAGCTGAAGGGTAATAGTTTAGGTAGCAGTGAGGTAAAAGCTGAAAAGCTAAACGCAACTGTGTCGTGGATATAATCAAAAGTTACAAACCAAACATGACGAGTTATGTAAACCACCAGGCCAGGAGAACGCTGCATCCACATACAGGTCCGCTTACCGAGCCTGCTGTTTATTTGAGCATCTGTTTATTTTGAGAGTGGTGTTTGCGCTGGTGTAGATTACCAAACGCAAATATAAACTGTGAAATTGCAGTTCAGAAACAGATAAACAGATGGCACAATACCTGCCTCGGTAACCGGCGTACGTATCGGTATGAAAACAGCCATGAGCTCGGCTTTCGATAGGCAGCCATGTGGAGCTGCTTTGTTCCTGGATTTTATTTCAAATCTCACTTTTTTTTTTTTTTTTTGCCGACGGAGCACGTTTTGTATGAACGAAGGCGATGGTCGATCACAGCCACAAAGCTCTCGTTCGCTGCCGTTTAATCACCCGGCGCCCAAACACAGCACCCTGGTGATGCCGTGGGAAGTTAAACAGAAACAAATAAATAAGTAAATAGAATTACAAGCAGAGGGCTACCTGTCTGCAGGGAACCATGGCTATGTTTACTTGGGTGTTAGTGTATTAACTAATAAAAATTAACACGCTGTTTATGCACAGTTCGGCTGTAGGACTATGGGGGGGGGGAAACCACCTTCTCCACTCTAACGGAACAATTTTATTGAGCCCAGAGCTCCACTTTGCAGGATAATCTTGACCTTTGAGAAACGACTAACCCTAAAAATAATCACTCTGGTGTAAAGTTGTGACGTCTTCCAACTGTTTTCTCACAATAACTACAGTGTGGCCTCTGTCTGAATAAACCACAGGAACAATAGTCTGCCTGTGCAGGCAGCTTACTCACATGCTCTGCTGCTTGCTGTTCTCTGAACCTGACAACAGCAGAGGCAAAAAAAAAAAAAAAAAAGACTTATACCTACTGCACGGGGGGGAATTACGTCGCTTTAGTCTTGTAGCATTATGGAGAGCTTACCCAATAGGTCACAGTGCTGTTTTTCACAAGCAGAGTTTCACATAAGCCACCAAAGGTGAATAATTCCTCTATTTGCAAGACTATTTGAAGAGAACAGAGACATTCAGTGCATTTAGTTAGAGGGATGTGAGGCACAGAACAAAATAATTTATTCAAGTCCTACTGTAAAGAATGCGACTTTTATGATTCCAATAACTAGGGATGCGCCACATATTGCAAATGTATCTCAGTATCAGTGCAAGCAATATTAACATTGCCAAGAACTGCTTGGATTGCAATAAATATGAAATTATTGTATAAATGTCAAGCTATCTGGGGTCTGCGATTGCCATAAACCCATAGCCTTCTGTGATTAGCATAATAAATATAAGTATTTGTTTGTTTATCATAAACTATATTGTTTATGCACAAACATTAAGAACTGCATGTCTCGAAGTTATATGCACGCCATCAACAACTAACATGTAACAGCATGACATGGCTGAGAATTGTTCTGGTTTGGTCAGCGGTCCGTATGCGTCACATTTCATAACATTCAGCCGGACCAAGCGGAGGTCAGAACCTAATAAATCAAAACAGAGTCGAATGCAAAGGTTTCAGGACAAAAAAAAACAAAACAATTTGTGAGCATAACTTTTAAGCCAGACATTAATATACATGATATAAAAATACACATAATCTATTGTTTTTTTGTTTAATCTTGCATTAAGTCGGGTTAAACCTTTACTGTTAGCAAGGATTACTACTTTTCCTATTCGCTAAAAGCCAGGATCATGAGCGGAAGACGTTTTTAGCAAATATGTGTAATGCTTTCTTCAAATTGAAAAAATAAATAAATAAATAAATAAAAATCCTGTAATGAAGATTACAATATCCTTTAAGAAAATAAGGTGCGCTTCAGATATGTTGATGTATTTTAAGGCCTTCAAATCGTTCCTGGTTTTGAACGTTTTGAGACTCGATTTCTGTATGATATTTACAGATTCGGAGGCGACCTATGCATCTATGATGCTGATTGACAACAGCAACTTCTCCCTGGCTCCTGAGCTGTATATTGGATTAAGTCTCCCATCTACATCCCACTGACAGCAAATGCGAGTGCATGTCACACACTGCCTAACGTCGTGACCATCCACTCTCAGACATGCCCGAGACTTCTGATATATGCAGCTAAGGGCAAACACATCACACACTCAGACACACTTATGCAAGCTTAATTTATTACTCACTTCTCGACCCAAATCAGTCACATCCTGTGCGACGGAGAACTCTTACACGTGTATTCAGCAGCCCATGTAAACACACACACACACACATGCATGCACACACATGCATGCACACACAGCAGAAGAAATGCACTGTCTCATTTCAGCAGCGTGGCATTGTGAAGAGTGTCTTTCTAAGCTAACTTAGACAGTATCATCACTCATTGTAACATTCTGAAGCAGCAGGCATGGTGTGTGTGTGTGTGTGTGGTGTGTAAATGGATCTAAAATTTTTTCCACACAGGGGAACCATCACAAGCCCAGTGCGGTGAGGAGCACACCTGGCTGGCCGCAAAACGGAGCAAGAAGGAAGCAGCAAACGGGCCCCGTGGGATTCGACTGCGAGGCAGAGGACGGCTACGCCAGGACTGAAGCCCCGCAGATGAGTTTGTGTGTGTGCCAACATAAATGTTTGCGGTCATTCATATGTGCAGCTTGGAGGCCACTCCGACACCTCGGTTGTGCATTTCGCTGCAAGTACAGAGTTTCAGGTTGAGAAACGGATCGTGTGAGAGAAAACCGGGCAAAGACAGGAAAGGTGGGGGACAAAAGGCCTCGTCCTGAAGTGAAACGCATGACTTTCATATTAGGGGTGGGCATTTCTCATATTGTTTTTTGTTTATTTTAGAATAAAATGTAGATTTATCATCGCTTCAATAAATTCAAAACTAAACTAACAGCATCATTTTTTAGAATTTTTCTCCGTTGTTTGTTTCACAAGAGCACCATAAACATCATTAAATTCGAAAGTATTTAACTTCTTTACGTAAGTTTCAAATGTTGATGTTTATTTAATGTTTGATGTAATACGTGATTGCTGTGTCATGTGGTCACCAAAATCAGAC